GCCCCCGTCGTGCCCCTCCTGGGCCCCGTAGCGCCCCTCCTGGGCCGCGTCGAGCCCCCCCCCCCCTCCTGGGCCCCGTCACGCCTTCAGGCCCCGTCGCGCTCGCCCGGCCCCGTCGCCCCAGCCCGGCCCCGTCGCACCAATCCGGCCCCGTCGCACCAGCCCGGCCCCGTCACGCCCGCCCGGCCCCGTTGCACCCGCCCGGCCCCGTCGCCCCCTGCCCGGCACCGTCGCAGCCGCCCGGCCCCGCCGCACCCGTCCGGCCCCGTCGCGCCTGCCCAGCCCCGATGCGCCCCTCCTGGGCCACCGTCCTGCTCGCCCGGCCCCGTCGCACCGGCCCGGCACCGTCGCACCAGCCCGGCCCCGACGCACCCGCCCGGCCCCGTCGCACCAGCCCGGACCCGTCGCCCGCCCGGCCCTGTCGCGCCCGCCCGGCCCCGTTGCACCGGCCCGGCCCCTGCGCTCGTCCCTGCCCCGGCCCCGGTCGTCCTCACTGGTACGGTTTCCCCCCCCCCCCCCCCCACCCCCCCCGCTGTCTGACTACCTTCGTGCCGCTCGTCCCTTGTTCCTCGGGTCCTTGCCTCTCTCGTTACCGACCCGTCTGTTCCGACCTCGTCCCTTGACGCTCTTGTCGCAGCTGTCGCTGACTTCGCCTCTACCCGCCGCCTTGACTACGCCTCCGCTCTGGTCTCTGACCCTGCCTGTCCTCCGTCTGTCGGGGGTGCTCCTGCCCTTGGCAGTGACGTCCTGGAGGACCGCCAGTTCGAGCTTGCTTTCCTCTCCAAGGCTGCTCCCCATCTCTGTTCCATGCTGCTAGTCCCTGAGGGTGACCCAGACGCTTTCGACATCCCTACCCCTCGCACTTACGCTGAGGCGACTTCGGGACCCTGGGCCTCGCAGTGGATAGCTGCCATGGAGCAGGAGATGGCATCTTGGAGATCCACCGGCACCTCCGTCGACGCAGTTCCCCCACCTGGGGTGAACGTAGTCGATGGCCGCTGGCTCTTCAAGGTGAAGCGCCCTCCTGGAGAGCCGCCTGTCTTCAAGGCGCGCTATGTCGCTAGAGGCTTCAGTCAGCGCGAGGGGGTGGACTTCTTCCAGACCTTCGCTCCGACCCCGAAGATGACTACTCTTCGGGTTCTGTTACACCTCGCTGCTCAGCGTGACTACGAGCTTCACTCCCTCGACTTCTCCACTGCCTTCCTTCAGGGCAGCCTACACGAGCAGGTCTACCGGCGGCGCCCTCAGGGCTTCACTGGCACCTTCCCTCCTGGGACCCAGTGGCTCCTGCGGCGCCTCGTCTACGGCCTGCGCCAGGCTCCCCGTGAGTGGCACGACACTCTCCGTGCTACGCTTGCTGACCTGCAGTTCTTTCCGTCTTCCGCAGACCCTTCACTCTTCATTCGTGCTGGCCAGACTCCGTTCTACATCCTTGTTTACGTCGACGACCTGGTCTTTGCCACAGCTGACAGGGACGCACTGGCCTCCGTGAAGGCAGAGCTGCTGAAGCGACACACGTGCACTGACCTTGGAGAACTGCGCCGTTACCTTGGCTTGCAGATCTCCAGGGACAGAGCTGCGCGCACCATCACCCTGACTCAGTCACACTTGGTGCGCCAGGTCCTTCAGAGGTTCAGCCTTCAGTTCTCTTCTGCACAGCCCACCCCTCTGCCTGTAGACCACAGACTCTCCGCTCCAGTGTCTGAGGAGTTGGTAGAGCCCAGCGGCCCCTACGCAAAGCTGGTGGGTTGCCTCATGTACCTGATGACTTGCACTCGCCCAGATCTCGCATACCCTCTCAGCATCCTGGCTCGCTTTGTGGCCACAGACAGGCACCGACCGCAGCACTGGTCTGCCGCTAAGAGGGTTCTGCGTTACCTTGCTAGTACATCAGGCATGGGGTTAGTGCTAGGAGGACGCAGGCCAGTGGTCCTTACTGGACACACAGACGCTTCGTGGGCAGACGACGCTGAGACACTCAGGTCTACCCAGGGCTACTGCTTCAGCCTTGGCTCAGGTGCCGTCTCGTGGAGAGCTACCCGCTCCTCGTCTGTTGCGCAGTCCAGCTGTGAGGCTGAGATCTACGCTGGTGCCATGGCGGCACAGGAGCTCCGCTGGCTGACCTTCTTGCTCACTGACTTAGGTGAGCGGCCTAGCTCTGCCCCGGTCCTGTTCGCTGACAACAGGGCCATGATCCTCCTGTGTCAGGAGCCTCGACTCGAGGGCAGAGCAAAGCACATTCAGCTGCGGTACTTCCTCCTGTGTGAGCTACAGCAGCGACGTCAGGCTCGTGTAGTACACTTGGCCTCAGGTGCCAACACGGCTGATATCTTTACGAAGGCGCTTGCGCCTAAAGATCATCAGCGGCACTGTGTACAGCTTGGTCTAGTTCCTGTAGCCTCTCACTTGCTAGGACCTTGACTTTGTACTGTCCTTTATACATATACTCAGACTGGACTTGTGTCCTCTACCAGTGGCTGGACTAGTAGTGCCGCCCTGCTCTTGTTCTTGCCTTGTTTGTACGCCTTCTGACTGGTCTCTCAGACCCTTGTCTCAGAGGTTGGACTAGTAGTGCCGCCCTGAGCTGTTTGTTTAGGGCATTCCCCTATGCAGTCTAGGGGGTGTGTCAAACATGTGTATTTGTCATGTTTGTATAGACTGTATAGGGTCGCCTCTTAGAGAGTACAACACTTAGGTATATCTGTGTGTACTCTCACTCTATCCACATTCACTTCTCAATTCTGATACTTATATCTGCTAGAATTACCGGTTCGGTAATGTACCTGTTCAAAACTACTTGCGCTATGCGCTATAATCGCTACTGAAAGGTGTGCAACTATTCGCGTGATTGAAACGGCATGCTGGCGCAATCATCCAGACGAGAGCTATTTGCTGACGTCATTCTACGGATGCTAGGTACAGTATAACTCGACAATATCCATCATAGCTACATACAGAAATGCTGAAGTACGATTTTATCACAACAACAGAATCCATCGCGGCATTGTCATTGTGGCGGCCTTGTCATTGTATATGATGCCATAATTATACGCTTGTGATTTTATATCCACCTTTTATTGAAGAATGTGGCCCATGCATGGGTCGTCATTATTTCACTCATGAGACAAAACCTCCATGCATAATCAAATTTGTCCCATTTAGAAAATTGTCACCGAATTGTTGTGAACCAGCTCGCAAATAATTTCCTGGTGTCGCGTTGGTTTGGCTGTACTCCAGCCTGGTTGGTTGGTGGGGTTTGGCAGAGCCTATCCGCGTGTGGACTGGCATTGACGCGGTGTGTCACATGGAAAACACGTCAACTCCTCGCTGGATCTCTTTTCTCGAGGCCAGTGATTGGTTGCTTTCAACCGTGATTTGCGGTCGATGACGCCACCTCTGCATGTTTCGCTTCACCCAAACCGCGTTCCTGCCCACCAAAACCGAACTTGCCTGACTGGACCTCGAACCTGGACAGTGATGGATCTTACAAACCCGTCGCTATTCGCGAACCTCCTAGACTGAGGCTGTCGAATTTCGCGGACCTGCTTACCTGAGGTGTTCGCCAATGTCTAGCCTAATAGGCTGAGGTTTCCCTGCCACCAAACCTGTAACCCTGGCCCTCTGACAAGCTCACCGAAACAAACTTCAGGGATCCGAGCCTAGCCCAGACCAGGCCGAGCCAACGGCCCAGAATGTTCGGGCACCGTTGTCTTCGAGAGAGCAAGGCAAGCAAACCTGCTGGATGTCCTGGGACTGGTCCAGACTCCAGAGCAAGCCAACCCCAAGAGGAAGGGATAGCCGGTTTGTCAGGCGGGCATGCTCCACCCCTCTCAATTATAAGAACCACATTCCTAATCTCCAAGCATTATCAACTTCAGCAGAAATTCCACTACCTGGTTTTCATAGTCCTAGTCATCTCGAGCTTGTCGCCCGCGTTCACGCCTGTCACTTACGTTTGAAACTTCTGTTACTCACGTTGACCGCCATGGCAGTAAGTTCGCCAACGTCCATGTCGTCGCTACTGAATCCTGATGCCCCTAATTTCGTGCCAGCTGCGTTTAGAAACACCGAGGATTTCAGCCAAGAATGGTGGGATAAGGTGCAAAATTCCCCTGCGTTTAGAGACTACTGGCTCCGCGAGCGCTTCGCTTCTTTGGAAGCAGAAGTAACCGAGTCAGGCAACAGCAACGAGGAGGAGGAGTTGGTAGACGAGCAATTACTGGAAGACATGGTTGATGAAGAGTTGAAAGAGGAGCTCTACGTGCTCGACATAGACGAGGATTTTGACGAAGTTTTGCAAGATTCTTCAGCCGAGCTTTGTGAAGAGTTGCTAGGTAAGCGGCATTTAGACATTCTACGGACCTCAATTTTTTTTTTCCCCTACTTTCTTTGCTTATCTTCTTCCCTTGTCTACGGCTCTTTCCTTCTTCTTGCTTCTCACACGCGTTACTTTCCCTCATGGAGATGGCAGGCAGTCGTGAAGAGTTGCCGGAGCGGTCGCGCGAGCCATTCGGCTTGACACAAGAGGTCACTAACAAGCTCAATAAGTCGAGGAAGCACGACCGCATTAAGGAGAACCGTTATGAAGGCCGTCGCTAGGCCTAGGCAGCAGCAGCACACCCGCGTTATTCAACAGCCTAGGGCTTAAGTTACGTATGGAGAGCGATATTGATGTGGTGCTTCCATGTACATGTTTGCTTCGTTTAGCTTACTTAGCATACATGGGCGCTCCTCAAGGGTAGACGCTCTTTGGGTTGTAATGCTCGTGACTGTAAAATTCAGGTTCATGATTGACCCTTCCGAGTTCCATGTAGTGACGAATGGGGAAACTGGTTGATTATACTGCACACACACTGAGCAGGCTTGGATTTCACCGCATACCTTTCCTCGCCAGGGTTGGTTGCTGCTGCTTATGCGCCCACATACCAGCAATCTTATGCTACCAGTGAATAATAAGATACCTACCCTTTTTCTTGGAAAAAGAAGAGAATTTCAGATATTCTTGGCATGAACGATACACAATGGAGCCTGGGAGAATGTGCCTCGTAGCAGCTTTACACATCAAGATAAATTGTGATAGCGCTCTGCTGCAACACACATGACGCGTCAGGAGAGGGAGACTCCCCAACTCCCCACAAACCCGAACGCATTCATGTTTCTCTTACAGTCTCTCTCCCCATCCCCTAAGTTTCCCCTCCCCTCAAGTGTCTCCCTTTTCCTACTGACTCCCCCCAATCCGGATCTTGGACTTGCTGGCATCTTCCAGAAACAGGTTCTCAGCTGTCTCGCTGTGGTACACACAAGACACCTCAGGGGACTCCCTCAGGTCGCCCACGAACCCAAACGTGTTCATGTTGCGCTTGCAGTCCCGCACCTCGTCCGACGAGATGAGCCCCTTTGACTCCAGCACGTGCCAGTTGCTCTGCCGCAGCACACACCCGGGCTTCACCTCTGCTTGAGAGACGTAAACGTTGAATCTGGAAGAAGGGAAAAGATGAGGGGGAGAGAGAAAAGGAAAATGCGGGACAGGTAAGGAGGAGAGGTACAGAAGTGAGCTCCCAGGCTTGTCTTTGCTGCGCTTGCAGTCCCACACCTCGTCCGATGAGACGAGACCCTTTGACTCGAGCACGTGCCAGTTGCTCTGCTGCAGCGCACACCCGGGCTTGACTTCTGCTTGAGAACGCATTGAATCTGGGAAAGGTAAATGGGAGGAAACGGGAGGGGGAAGCGGGGAGAGGGGAGGGGAGGACAGAGGGAGAAGCGAGAGCTGGGAGAGGGATCTCGAACGTGTTCATGTTTTGCCTGCAGTCCCACACCTCGTCTGATGGCACAAGGTCCTTTGACTCGATCTGCTGGTCCAGCAGCCCCATGGGGCTCATGCCAATAGCTAGGCTGATGTCTGGGAATCCTGGTTACCACATGGTTAGAACAAAGAACATGTTACGAGTTGAATGAGATGAGCAGCCATTGGCCCAGCACCATCGCACACACTCATGCTGTTAGCTCGACTGATATCTAAGAATCCTGGTTACCACATGGCTAGAACAAAGAACACGTTGCGGGTTGAATGAGACGAGCAGGCGCTGGTCCGGCACCATCGCACAAACTCATGCCGTCGGCCAAAGAGGTGTCCGGAATACATGGTTACCGGCAATCTCAGGTTGAAAGTGAGAACACTCACAGATAAACAGCCGCTGATCCAGCACCATGGCGCTTATGCCGTAAGCACTGCGCCCACTGACACACCAGACAGATGACTTGATTGAGCATCTGCCGGTCGATGACCTCTCTGCTCACTACGTTGCTCGGCTCCACGTTCAGCACCGTGGCCACCGACACGACCGCTCTATCCACAGTGGCTGCCTACCTAGGCCCAGAGGTTGGTTACCAGCGCCCCAATTGCTGGTTACCAGCGCCCAGATTGCTGGTTACCAGTGCCCAGATTGCTGGTTACCAGTGGCCCAATGCTGCCGAAGTTCAGCACGGTGTCCACCTACACCGTCCCCCTGCTAGTTACCTGGTTACCAGACATTGTATGGGGGTTCTTAACCAGGAGAAAGAGTGAGAAAAACTCACGGATTGAAGGAAATAAACAGCCGTTGGTCCAGCACCATGGCGCTCATGCCATTGGCCAGGCAGATGTCCGGGTTGGGCGTCTGCCTGTCGATCACCTCTCTGCTCGCCACGTTGCTCGGCTCCACGTTCAGCACCGTGTCCACCGACACGCCTGCGCCTATCCCCAGTAAGAACACACCCGCTAGTGCGAACTTGCTCACTGACGCGAACGGGTTCGACGGCCGCGGCGGCGGCGGCGGCGCCCGCGGCGGAGGCGGAGGGGAGGGGGAGGCGGGGAGCGCGGGGGAGGCGGAAGGGAGGAGCGGGAAGGAGCGGAGGAGGATTGGCGCGGTGAAGGGGGGGATGGGCGCTGGAGCGGGGGAGTGGACGGGGTGCGGAGGGAGGGGAGCGGGGGGATGGTGGCGCGGGGGGAGGGTGAGTACTGGTAGGCGGTGTCCTCTTTACTAGCTTCTGGGTCTTCGTCGCCTGTGTGGTAGTTATAACGATAACCGGATCTGCTTCTTGGCGGGTCTAAATCGTAGTCCAATCCTTGACTACTGCTAGTACTACTCGAAGATAACCGCCATTCCCCCGCCTCCCTAACGAGGCCCAATCCCCGGCATTTCCGCGCTGCTGTGTTCTCTCCCCCCCCTGATCTCTCTCCACCCGCCGCTGCTCCCCTGCTGTTTTGCCCGCGGGAAAAACATCTCCCCCTTCCGCGCTCCCGCGCCTCGTTCCTCTCCCCGCGACCCTGAACTCGACGCGTTTGTCCTCAACGAATATAATCCTGCCACGTCATCGTCGTCCGAAGGGCCCTTGGCGGGTCGCCAGCTACTACCCCCCGTTGCGCGGGTAGGCGCGCGGAGAAACCGTGCGCGGAGTTCGGGGGTGCGGGGAACCGTCGCGGAGAGGGGGACGCGCGGAAGAGGAGAGAGGGGACAGGGGCGGAGGCGGCTGGCGCGGCGGGAACCAGAAACGATGGTCTGGTTAAGACAGGAGCGGGAAACGCGGAGGGAGGCACTAGGATGCGTGGTAGTCGCCATGGGTGGGACGCGAGGAGCCGCGAGGGCGAGAAGCACGTGGTGCACCCGTGGTGCGCACGTGCCTTACTAAGCAGAAACGTGTGGAAAGGAGCGGAAAGAGAGGAGGTTTGAAGGGCAGGAGGTGCCTTGAGCCACACGTCACGAATTCTGACAAGCTGCGCGATGTGGAGGTGGCTATACAGCGGATGCCGCGATCCGCTAAAAAAGAATCCTATGTAACAGCTGGTTCATGCACTAGTTGGAGTGAACAAAAACGAGGACCATAACATAGGACGGAAAATGAACCACTACTTGTTGTAGATAACCGCTTTGATGCAAATGAATTCCGTTCTGCTCATCATTTTTTTATGTTATTTCATTGAGGACCTTTGAAATCCGTCGTTTGGTGTGACAATCCCATTTAGCACAAGTTTTTTGATTGACAATGTTGAGTGGAATTCGCCTAGTATTTTCTTTGATTTTTGAACACCCTTTCCTGTCGTGTATTCGAACCTTACAACTAGCGAGAATCCTCTTTATTGCTTGGCTGACTCAGCAGCCCCTTGGGGACTGCCTGAATAAACTGAACACGTTCAGTAGGCTCGGTAGGAGTTACCGACCGGCTAATAAATCGCCGAGCCTAACGTTCTAGTTCTCCTTGACCTCGTTGCTCCTCGTCGACCAATAAGTCGCCGAGCGTTTCGCGATCGACGAGAAAGTAACGCGTTCCCGGCGACGGCCGCATTGCTGCGTACTAGTCGGATAGGAGATCAGGAGGCCGGCATTATGTCAAGTACTAGTAGGAGTCGCACCAGCCATGACCACGGTCGTTACGACGACGCTGAGTGCGACACTGCGTGCGACTCTGTGTGCGACGCTGCGTGCGACGATGCGTGCGTCAAGCCACCGCCAGTGCCAAGCGCTTTTTCCCTCGCCGCGTTCCCCTCTGCCAGGTCAAGCTGTGATTTACCGCACAAGTCGCTGC